AGAAGAAAAAAGAAACACAAAGATCTTGAGCATTATGTGTAATATAATGCTTTCTACTTTCATCAGTTGTAAATGACCGGATTTTACAGATAAGAAAATATCTGTTGGTTTCATAGAGCCAATTAAATACAAAAAAAAAAAAAAAAAAAATCCTTCTGTGTTTTAAATCATCATTAGCTGGAGTTTCAAATACATGCAGCTGAACAGTTCCCTAACTGGTACCATTCTATAATAAATGGACAAATTTAGATTAGATTAATGTATTTGAAAGCAGAAAAGAAAGAAAATCAAGCTTTGCTAAGACAGCTGCTTTTTGCCCTAGGTCAGCAACCCAAGATGGCTGAGACTCCAGTAATCTGCAGACTTACTATGTCAGATCAGAGCCTGTTTTTTAGAAGGCTTATTCCTTGCCTTTTTTCTATTCTGATCTGTAATGCAATCTGCCAAGTTATGTTTCAGCTGAGTTCAGCAAAGGAGACATACTTTGCAGAGAATGGGCAAAGACTGGGTCGGGGGAAGGGACTGTATTCTTTTTCCTCTGTCTCTGTAATTAGTAGCCTCTCCATTAGTATCCAAAACTCACAACTGGATCCGGCTCTTACCAATAGCCCCACCAGTGTTGCTGCATCGGCTTCGTAATCTCAGCCCTTTGCCTTTTTTCCATTGGTCCCACTAGTAGTGGTCTCTGCTTTTGCTCATTTCTGAATGGCCTTTTAATCCCCTATTTGGCTCACGGTTTACCCTCCACTCATGTAACCAATTTCTTACATTAAAGGCTCTCTGACACTTAGAATATTTGAATTTTCTCCTGATGAGAATCAGTTTTTGGGAAGTTGAATTCTCAGTCGTAACGTAAATAAGAGAGATGGGAATTGTAGCAGGAGATAAAACTGAGAACTGAGATTCCCTGGGCTCTGCCCATGTACCTAGTAAAATATACTCCCAAGGAAGGATATTACATTATACTATATTCTCATTGTCAAATGCAGCTGTCATGCATTCTCAGCAGTTTTAAATGCCTCTCCTTCCCAAGTCATTGATTTGAAAGCTCACTCTACTTGTTCAGAAGGACATAATCTACTTGCATTAATTTCTCTCTGCAATAGATCCAATTATTACCAGTAGCTTAATCTTTCTCCACAACTGTATGATTATTGGGTACATTGGGGGTGGGCAAACATCTGTGGGCTTAGGTTGCTGGTCCATCTTAACCTGGCAGAAAAGAGTTTACTTCACCTAGGTGAGCTGGACTAGGAGTTACATGTAGTAAATAGGTGAGATTTACATTGCCTTCCTGTGGGGAAGAGGTCAGTGTGTTTGGATTAAGCTATGCCTTGGGTATGGTTCGTCCACAAAGGTACATGGGCTAAGAAGTTTGGTTCCCAATGAAATGATGTTGAGCAGTGGAGACATCTTTAGGAGATTGGGCCTAGCGGATGGTGTTTGGATCATGGAAGCACCACCCTCATGAAGAGATGAGTGCCATCTCACATGACGGAGCGAGTTCTCACTCTCAGGGGAATAGAATAGTTCCCAAAGTGGGGTGCTATAAAGTAAGATAGGCGAGCCAGTAGCATGGTGGGTAGAATGGCTGGACGCCACATAGCCAACTGCATGGTTTGAGTCCTGGATTTGGTGGCTTGAAAAACTTGTCAGGCATGTGTATTTGTGTGCCCAAAATAATGAGGAGAAGGGATTGCAGCATGGACATTCCCCCCAGGGGGGTGCTTTATCACTTTCTCTCTGTCTCACTCATGCAAGCACACATACCCTAAAGCAAATTAAAAAAAAAAAAAAAGTAAGATGGCTGCCCCCAAGTGGCATGCTCTCCTTGCTCTCCTTGTTGACCTTTAAGATAATTAAGATGCTAGATATTTTTAAAAAGAGGATTTCAAAATTCATTAAAAAGCAACAGAAATAAAGATAATGTGCTACTGGCTTAAGTATAGATATACACATCCATGGAATCAAGTTGAGAGTCCAAAAATATGCTGACCTTTCTGCTTTGTTCTGCCAGGCTGTGATGCAGCAGAGGCTGGCCAGATGCTTGCCCCACACCTTCAGACTTTCCAGTCTCCAAAATCATGAGCCAAATGAACCTCCAATGCTTACAAATCACCCAGTCTCTGGAATCTCTGTTTAGCAACACAGTAAGAGACTGAAACAGATTATTTGAGCTTTTGAAATTAAAGATATGAGGAAAAACAGTGTATGGAAATAGGACAGCCAGAAAAAAAGTAGTACTGGCTTGTCAGAAAAGTCATGATGTGTATTTTCTATGCAAAAATGCATCATGACATTTCCAACAAACCCAATAGATAGCTGTAGTTTTATTTCACATCTATTTCTTTTATTTATTACTTTTTTCTGACTATAACAACCTGTTACTCCTTTAGGAAATCACCTCTTTTTCACTCTCAGTCCATACGGTTTGGGTGGTATAAGTACTACCTATGTACCTATTAACACTATGGGAACAGGCATTGGAATCAAGCCTGCCCTATCAGAACAATACAGTTCCTTGGCCAACATGATTGTTCAGGGTTGGACCACACCTTAATCAAAGTTTATGAGATGCAAAGTTAGACTTTTGAAGGTGAACATTCACTCTTGTTTATGCTAGATTTGGAATTGTGAGGGTATATGTCTGGAGCTTCTTGCAACCACTTTGCCCTACTGGAACTTAGGAACAATAATCAAAAGCTGTTACTCTGCCATGTACAACTCACAAAAATTCATTAACATACATATAAATATGGCATATAACACTTTATAAAGAAAGAAATATTTAAATGATAGGAAGTTTGTATGTTTGTGAGAGAGAAAGAGAGAGTCTCTAATGGAATCTGGTCACTTGCATTTTCTTTTCTCCAGCTCTTCAGCTCATCAGGATCATGTAGCTGTGCACGTATCCAGTATGTTTTCAGGCCAACTCAGGGATCCAAACCCATGGTTGACCATGTGGCTTCCAGCATTACAGTCCAATACATTATGGACTGCACCACCAAGACTGAGACAAATTTTATTTTTTCTCTCTTCCAAGTAGGAAAATATTTTATGAAATTCTCTGCTCTCAGAGGAAAATGAGCATTTAATATCATGCCCACCTGTTGATCTTTGGGACGTGATTTATAGTCAGAAGACATTGACACCTACATTGTCTTTCTATTTTTCTATCATGTAGTTGTGGCCTACTAATGATGAAATTTTTCTTTCGTATGACTCAATTTTAAAGAAAGTGAATACTTTGTTAAATAAAGTTAACTGACAAGCTTAAACATTCAAAATACTGAGTGACCAGGGATTTAATTATTTTATTTTTTTAAGGATTATTTTATTTAACTTTATTTATTTATTTTAATTTGACCTGAGAGAGAGAGAAAGTGAGAAAGCAAGCCACCAGGTCTGAGACTCAAACCGCAGTCGGCGTTGGGGGAGTCCAGGGCCCTTAATCACCACGCCACCTGCTGGCTCTGATTTTCTTATTTTACAAAAGATGCTACTGAGTCTTTTAACATTAATTTTCTACCTAGTTTAATCAGTAACAGGGTTCTAGTGCTGGAAAGGAATATCAAAATATTTCAGCTTCAAATTTTCATTTTGGGATGAGGAAATATAATTACTGCAATATAAAATGGAAATTACAGATGAAAGAACTAATAATTTGAATTGTTTTTGGCAACCACAGAGTAGGACGAGACCGAGCCATTCTCTCTTTTGCACTCATTCTTACTTTCCCTTTTCTCTCTTTTGCCACTTCCATGACTACATCCTAGAATTCATAATTACTTTGGAATTACACATTTTTTTTATGATACAGAATGCATGCACATGCATGAGAGAGAAAGAGAGCAGTACCCTTGACGAGGTCTTGTCATATTGCAGTTCCCTTTGTCCATCTCTCCAGCTCCTCAGGATCCTGAGCACCCACCCACACACTCGGTGTGTACTTCAGGCTGACTGGAGAGCTGAACCTGTTGTCACTGGATGGCTTCCAGTCTCGCAAGGCACTTGTGTTACTGCTGTGCCACAGTGGCTGGGCCCATTTCTTTCTTTCAATTTGTCTGCATATTATTTATTTTTATGGATATTGGTTTTATTTTTTACTATCCAATCTTCCAGGCTTGTTGAGACAGAGATGATATAAAATGTCCTTTTTATTATTGCTGCATTAATAATGATAATAGAAAATAGAATGTTTCACTTGAGGGGGGGCAGTGTGAAAAGGGACAATGGAACCCTAACAACATATTTAGGCAATAGGGAAGGAGAATTTTAAATTCCCTTGTCTCCTGCAAAGGCCGATCTTTCTCTCAACCTCCCCAATTCTTAAGAAAGGCCCTGTACATATGCGTGGACAGAGTCTATTTACCTAGCTCTGAGTTCATTCACCTGGTATGGCCAAATGCCACACAGCAGATCACTCCAGGGCTCACTGTACCCGAGAATTAGGTAGTCATTATCCAGTATTGAATAGGTGATGTGCATAAATATTTTTTCTTTTTTTCAAGGTTTTTGCCATAGGGCGCATGTGCTTGCCAGACAGAGAGAGACAGAGAAAGATAGTGAGAGGGAAGTGAGAAATCACCCCCCAGGGAAATGGCCATACTTCAATCCCTTCTCCTCCATTCTCCCCCTAGGATTTTAGGCAAGCACATACATGTGCCTTGTATGATTTTCAAGCTGCCAGGTCTGGGCCTTGAACTGTGGTAGACCATGTGGGAGTCCAGCACTTAACCACCATGCCAACTGCTGGCCCTGTGCATATAGAATTTTTACATAAACTTTATAAATGAATTAAGGAATAGTGAAATGAGACAAGTGACCATTCACTAGTATTAGGAAGCGACTAGAGAATAAGTTTGGCTTGAAGTATCAATTACTATAATAGTTCTCAGAGCATTCTGTGATATAGTGACAGTACTATTGGTGATTGAAAGCATGATTTCATACAAGAAAACCACTTCTGAAGTTTTAAAACTATTTTTTTTTTACACACGGAAGTACACATGATACAAAATGCTTGTTTTACAAGTTGAAATCTTTACAGTTATGGGTACAATTACAGTAATGTAGGTAATATTAGTGCATTCACTTAGAGCATTTATTTTCATTGGGTTTAACACAAAGCCAGGGATAAATTATTTGCTTAAATCACTTTGAAGTCTTTAAATTTAAAAAAAAAAAAGAAAAATTACTTTTCCCTCCTGTATAATGTTGTCAGGATGACAAACGGTGCCAACCATTAAATAGTCTGGCATTCCTATAAACGAGAGCTTGTGTTCCAATAACTCTTATGTTGTAAATCCTCAAGTTTTGGCTAAATATGTCTATCAAATTGTCATTATCTCAGCTTTCAGGAAAATTACATCATCTTTGGTAACAGGATGCCAACAAACAAACTATAGACTACACCATTTTTTCCAAAGAATCCTGTATTTTAATGAAGAGCTGAATAAATAGACATTAATTATGAAATTCACATTAAGAGAGAAGAAAATCCAAACATTCTGATTGCTTTATCTCTTAAATTTGATAGTTACTACAAACATACTATTTATGTTAAGTAAAAATAAGCTGAATCACAGGAGTGTAGCCGAGAAGTGCTGGCAAATATATACAATAACATGGAGGAGCCATAAAATAAAAGTGTTTCTATATACATCATGTTTTCCTTTCTTTTTGTATGGATAAACACTGTTTTATAAAATGGGAAAACACACAGTAGAACACATGCAACAAGGACCAATACAATGTGCACAGCAGAATAATCAAATAAGACACAAAAACTAAAGATTTAAAAAAGAATTCGGTAGCAGAAAGAAAAAAAAAAAAAGGAAAGGATTGAAACCTGGAATGTTTGGCTTATTAAGGTTTCAGAATATAAATTTGCCTAACAAGCCTCTTGATAGTTTTCAAAAGTTCCCACTTGACCACCTATGGTTTAAGTGTAGAGCTAAAAATAAACCATCATATTATACAAAATTTGTATAGTAGCATACAAAAGGTAACAATTTACTTTTTGTATAAAATATAACCTTTTGATAGTATATTTATTTCACATATGTATAAATATAACCCAAAGAATATGTTTTAAGTATTTCTACTAAAATATTTTTTACAAAAAGTTTACAAAACAAGTCATGTATTTATATTTACAACCTAGCACAGAGAAGTTGCTGGGCCAGTGATGTTGGTGTTGTGTAAAAAAGAGAGTGCTTCTAGACATTTTCAAGATTGGGAGAGGGCTTTGCAGAACTTTTCAAAGGTGTCCTCTTTTGAACAGATATTTAAACCTCTGTTTATTAAGTGCCTTTAGTTAAATTACCTTTGATATTTGAATATACGAGTATATAACTTAGCAGAACACAAGATACTCTTTGCCCTTCTGTAATTAGGAAAATGATAGCAATATTCTGCAGCCATCCCAAATCAGCACCCATCTTCCCCACTTGACAGCTGATCTGGATGTGGGCACTGAAGTTAAATGACTCAGCAAAAACTCTTTCTTTGATATGACGCTCAGCCCTGAGAGAGAAAACCAGGAGATGAAGAGTCCAACATATGGCAATGATTCATCACATCAGGGACAGAAAAATGGACAGATGGCTACAAATGGACCCATTCAATTGAGTTGTTCACTCCCATCCAAATAATATGTCCCAAGAAGAATGGATTGTTCTCTCTCTCATTGTACTTTTCTCCAAATCCCATGAAGTAGGTTTGTACCCATTCAAACATGCCACGCCTGCTTCCTACCTCCAACTAAAACAGGATACCTTCTAATCTCAGTTTGGGCCTCTGAATGCCCTTTTCTTACAAAGCAATGTCTGGTCATCAGAATAAGCAGGGAGGATAAGGCTCAATTTCACTCAGCTTGGGAACAAACCAGCAAATATCAATCACAATAACCAATACCCTAGGTTATTTCTGGTCAAATAAATCTTAATAGCAAAGTACAATTTTTTTTTAAGGGCATTCTGAGGCAGACAGGTGTGTATCAGTATTTCTGTAAGATTAGGGCAAGTCTTGGTTGTAATTAAAATTTGGTACAGAATGTATGCAAAAATTAGTTGTAGAAACCCAAATCAAGTTGTACGGTTCTACGTTTGCTAGACACAGTATCCCACTGAAATATAAGAGATGTGGGGAAACTGCAAAAGTGAGGGGTCACTCTAAGGCTGAAATTCTATAATCCATGTGATGATTTCTAGGTTCTCTAATTTAGAATGTTGTTTGATTTCTCAGAACAAACCTATCCCGTTTCATTCTATCCTAAAACCTTCAGAGAAATTAACTGAAAAGACAGTGGACAGATTCCGCCACATATATCTTTTGGAGCAAATGAAAGAATTTTTTGCTGTTGCTTGGAACTAGGACCTCCTCATGACATGGGTCTTAAACAATCTACGAATTCTCTTACTTTTCTTTCAGAGAGAAAAGGGAGTGTGGGAAGCTGTTTTACACCATTAGTTATATATCAACATCACAGTTCTGTTTGGACAAATTGGATACTATGTCCCAGAGTGTAGACAGGGAAAAGTGATCCCAATGTTTTACTTTCAGGTTTGATATTTCAAACAAGAATCTGGACCAAAATGTTCATCACTGCAGTCACTTTCCGACCTCCCCTTTCTAGCCATGATATCACCATGTAGCCCAGCTGAACGTCCATAGTTTGGCCTTTACAGGGTCCTTGTGAAAATACTGCCTTTAGGTGCTAGGAGTTTACAACTTGTCTCCCCTTTCTCCTTCAGGAGTTGTTCCCCAAGATCTCATCTAGATTGATGTCTTTCATCCAGTCATCATTACCTGGCTCTGTCTTCAACAGAGAATCAATGAAGTCAGCATCACTGTTTAGGGCAGGGCCCATGTTGTCAGTCTGTTGATTGAGGAAGTCGAAAGCTAAGTCACTGCCATGGTCAGTTCCTTGAAAAGCCCTAGTGCTTTGGTTGGGTGAAGGAAAATTACTGGCTGTCAGGGATGGCGGCTGGCTTATGTTTGTCCTAGACTGATTCAACCCTGTTCCAGACTGGTTCAGATTAGGCAAAATCGGTGTGCTTAGCTGATTAGGTCTGAGACTCAGACCCCTGAGTGGACCCATAGTTTGTCCATTCAATGTTTGGTTCATCTGGTTCATAGGTCTCATCTGCACTGCTGGTGTTAGCTGGTTGGGAGGAGCCACTGTCCTCTGGGAAAACTGTTGGCTACCTACTGCCTGCTGCAATGACTGGTTTGGGGTATAGGCTGTGGGCGTGGCTGTAGAGAAGCGGACTGCTGTGGACTTCAGCACTTCCTGCTGTTTGGTAGTTGCTTCTTGAGAGGCCCAGTTTGGTGCTGTTGTATTGGTTGTAATCATCACATTCGATGTTCTCTGTGCTGGCATGCTTGCCATACTATGGATTAAATTCGGTCTCAATTGTGAATTGCCAACAGATCCAGCTCCAAAATTGGCCACGTTGCTGTTATTACTTGGCCCTAAGGTGGGTGGCCGTGGCATCAGAGGGTTGTTTTGATTTGCTATCAGTTGGTTTGGGTTTCTTTGTTGGGTCAGTTGATTTATTCCTGAAGTGACACTGTAGGTGCCAGGTTGATTACAAGGCAGATTTCCATACATCCCTAGGTTCTGAACTGTTGTGGACAATGATGGCATCCTTGTCCCATGGGAAGTAGACATGAGGCTGGAATTTGGAGTTAAAATGGTGTGTGTGGAAACTGGGTTTGCCAAAGCCTGGTTAGAGTTTAAACTCACTGTCGATGAGCCACCTAAGGAAGTGAAGAGAATTATATTAGTTCATGATGATAATTTTGCCTTTGCTATAGCACTTTACAGTAACTTATCAACTCTGAAATTGCTTTCAGGTGTAAGAACAATTTAAGAGAAATAAATACAAAGCATTTTATGTAAAAGGAATAAGATAGTTTTCAGGAAGAAGTATCACCATAGGTTGCTCCTTCGTCAAGAGTTTACATGTTACAGAAGGCAGACTAAAATAAAATGGTTTTATTTTAGAAATTTTTACTTATTTCTCTCCTAGAGTCAACAAGTGCATATGGCAGCCAATCTTTCACTTTAATTTAGCTTTATTCTCTTCCAAATGCTAAGACTACAGCTTTGATGAGTTGATAGTCATAAAACCCAGGCTACTTTTTGCCCCAGGGTCCAAACAAGAAAGTGGGAATAAATCCTATGCATGGCTCCTGGATTAATACTTCTAAGTTCTGGCCTTGAAATTCATATCCCATTCTTTATCTGCAACAAGTGGCTTCAAGAAGCTGTGACAAGTAGCTCCCAGTGTCCAAAGGATAAATCCCATCTCTAAATATCTGGAATTCAGTAAAATCCATGGTGTGGTGATTATTTCCATAAGGAAAGTCTTCTATTCTGGGAAGCATTGCTATCCAACACACCATGAGCCATTTCCCCTTGCTAAGATGCTCTGCTTACCTTGCTAAGGCCTAACTTTCACCAAGATTCAGGCCAAAGCCCAAGCCCAAGCTCCTCTATTGAGCTTTCCCTTATATTCCAGCCGCTTACCTTGCTAAGGCCTAACTTTCACTAAGATTCAGGCCAAAGCCCAAACTCCTCTATTGAGCTTTCCCTTATATTCCAGCCTCCTCTGTCCAGCAGCATCTGACCTCTGAATCGTTCATTTAGCACTTAGCTTTTACATTGGTCAATCCATGGAGCCTCAGCATACCTGCCAGTTAAACCGATACATGTGATAACTGATCTGACGAGGAACCAGTGCCTGAGAACTGGCCAATGAATAGGAAAGCTCCATACAACAGGGTGTGATTAACCAACACTAACCAACCTCTTCCAGTCTGGAAGAGGTTAAAGTCATAATGGGAAAACATCTTGAGAGACAAAATGGTAGTGCCAGAAATAGAAAATACGTTAGATGATAAATTCCAGTAGAAAAGGAATTTTTGTTTTGTTTTGTTCATTCATAGTCCCCCACTTCAGTGGGCAGCACAAAGTAAGTATTCATTTAATATTTTTGGGTGAATGGATGAGTGAAAAATTGAGGCAAAAACAAAACCTGGAAAAAGATAAACTCTTATGAAAGATTTTCCCTGAAGATTCAGGGGCATCCAGAGAATTGGTGATACTGAGAACGAGTTACACACACACAGGCATATCAGAATGTCGGTATATGAGAATGTCTGCAACATGGACCTTAAGCTATCTCCTTCTACTGAAGTATACCTGCTCTGGTATGCAGCCTGAAAGACTGAAGACCAAATGAATACGCCTCTGTGCTATTTATTTATTTATGTATTTATTAAGACTGCACCAAACCAAACCAAACCAAACCAAAACCAGGTTTTAAAAATCATTCCTGGGCCAGCTGGTGGCGTGATGGTTAAGGTGGCTAGAACCCACATGGCCAGCTTTGTGGTTGAAGTCCCAGATCCCAGTGCCTTGAAAGACATACTGGGTGCATGTGCATATGTGCCAGAATCCTGAGAAACTGGTAGAGCAGAAGGGATTGCAGCATGGCCATCCCACCCAAGGGGATTTCTTACTTTCTATCTCTCTCCAGTGAGCACATATCCCTATTGCAAAACTTAAAAAAAAAATCATAATCATAATCATTTCCTTTGGGTGCTTATATTTCAACAATATGCCCTGAGAAGGTTCATAAGGAGAACAGTATGTTTTAAATTTTAAAAACTTATTATTTTTAATTACTAAAGGATGCTTAACAGAGAGATAGGGGGTGGGGGAAACAGCACTCCCCAATGGGGTATAGTCATACCACAATTCTTTCTCCTCCATTTTTCCACATTGTCAGGATTTTGGACACACATGCACAGATACCCAGAGTATTTTTTTTTTTTTGAAGAGGTTTTTGCTATAGGGCACGTGTGCTCGCCGGACGTAGAGAGACAGAGAGATAGAAAGCGAGAAATCACCCCCCAGGGGGGATGGCCACGCCACAATCCCTTCTCCTCCATTCTCCTCTTGGGATCTTGGGCACGCACGCACACGCACCCAGCGTGAGTTTAAGCCACTGGGTCTGGGACTTGAACCACGGTCAACTACGTGGGAGTCCAGCGACATAGCCATTATGCTAACTGCTGGTCCCAATACCCAGAGTATTTTTGAAGCCACTGGGACTGGGATTCAAACCACAGTTAGCCATATGGGATACAGCTCCCTTAGCCACTGGGCTATGAAGCTGGCCCAAGGAGAACAGTATTTTTAAACAGTCAGAATAGAGAGAATCATCACAAAGATCACAGAGTAATAATCATGATTAACATTTAGAAGCTCCTACTATGTGGTAGAAATTGTTCCGGGTGCTTTTCATTCTTCATTTCTAATATTAACATCTGGGAAAGGTAATTATTACTATCTGAGCTTAATATAAAAATTCTTTAGAAGTTTGTGTTGTGTTTTGCTGCTTATTTCATTCTCAGGAGACATAGAAAGTGCCACACTCTAGGGCAGTGATTCTTACCCACTGGAGGGTAAGAAAAAAAATGCCCCTGTATACTACAGAAAAGATTGTTAGGTACCTCCCCATGTCTAACCTTTCTGACTTCCTTATAATCACAGCCTTAATTTTGTAGCAATGTTACACAAAAACCAAAAACTGAAAAATCACATTTCCCAAACTCCCTTGCTAATGTGGGCGGGCTATAGGAATAATCTCTGGCTAACTGTAGAATGTATTAGGTGGGAGTCTGAGCAGACTACTTCACAAGGGAACCTGACTCATCCGGGAGACTGCTTTACCTTTTGCATTTTTTCCTTTTCCTGCCTGAAATACAGATATAAAGGCTGGTATGTGGTGGCCTCAGGCAGCCCTTAGGCTAGGAGACACATGTTCAGGAAGCTGGAGCAGAAAGACAAAAGAAGCCTGGATTTCTGATAACATCATGGCGCCATTAAAGCAGCCCTAGACTACCTCTGGGATTCTTTATACCATGGGGAAAAATCCCTAAACATCTACCTAGAATTTTGTGTAATAATTCAAAGGGGCTTCCAGCCTCCCCCAAAGCCACTCTTAGGTCATAAGTATAAGAAGCTCATGGTCGAGGAATTAGTGAAAGATTATAAGAAAGATCAAATATGTGATCGGGAAAACAGGAAATACTGAAAATTGAACAGGGGCCAGCCAGTGATGTGGTTAAAGTGGCCGGATCTCACATGACCAGCTGCACAGTTCGAGTCCCAGACCCTACTGCTTGAAAGACACAGTGGGATACACCAGGTGGGGCTAGCAGGTGATATGGTGGTCAGGGTGCTGGACGCCCATGTGGCCAAATGCAGTTCAAATCCCAGACCTGGCAACTTGTTTTCTCACTTTCTCTATCTATCTATCTATCTATCTATCTATCTATCTATCTATCTATTCATTTATTTATTTATTTTTGCCGGGGCTGAGTGGGTTTTATTGGGCGGCGGGTCAGTCCTTCTTGGCGGCCGCTTTGCGCATGGCGGCCAGCAGTTGCTAAGCTTCTCGCGCTTCCTCTTGGCGCGGATGTGCATGCCCACTCGCTTCTTGATGAACTTGAGTGCGCGCTTGTCCTTGGACACCTTGAGCAGCTCCATGGCGCGCCGCTCGTAGAGGGCGAAGCCACACACCTCTTGGATCATGTCGCGCACGAGCTTGGTGAGGCGCCCGCGGCGGCGGCTGTGCCTCGGCTTGCTCACGTTCTTGGTCACTTTGTGGCCCTTGTTGAGACCCACGGCCATGGGGTACTGCAGAGCCATGGCTGTGGTTCTCTAGTGACTACTGGGGCGGAAGCTCTCTCCCTTTTTCTGATGACTATAGCAAGTTAAGATGATGATGACAATAATAATAATAATAAGAAGAAGAAGTAAATAAAATAAAATAAATAATTCCTTTAAAAACTGTGAAAAAAAATAAAAGGAAGGCATGCTAGGCATGTGTGTGGACATGCCCAAAATCCCAATAGGAGGGAGTGATGGAGGAGAAGGAATTGCGGTGTGACTATCTCCCATGGTGGGGGGTGCTTTCTCATTCCCACCCCCTTTTTCTCTGATGAGTGCATGTGATCTCTGACAACATTTTTTAAAAAAACGTGAAAACGAAAATTTCTTCTTTTCACAGTTATGAATTTTCATTTCTAAGAACACTTACCAGCCCCTCTCTCCCCTCCCTTGAGCTCTCCCCCCACAAAAAAACAACATTTACCAGAATACTGAGTACTTGGTTGTATGCTGCCCACACTTCTTCTTTGGTCTTTATAATCTGGAGGTGGCCTTGTCAAATGTCGGTTTATCTGATCTTGTGGAATAATCTTCTCCTAGAAAACACAAACAAAAGCATATTACACTACATTGCCACTTTATTACTTGTAAAAATGTATGTGTTATTAGTTGAAAAAAGTAAACATAAAATAAGACAATTTTGTAGTTGTGGTTGTCAATCAGAATCTTATTTAGTAGATTTTAAAAATCAAATCTTATTTGTCTCTTAACTCAGAGACAAATCTCAATTTCAAGAACCTTTCTTCATGGAAGTGTAATTTCTACTTCTGCATGGTGTTCTACATGTGTTTTGGGTCTTGTGAATACTCTCCTTTCCTTTATTTTGCAATTAGATTTTCTTTTTAATAATTATTTTTATTTAACTTTATTTATTTATTTACTTATTTTAATTCAATGGGAGGGAGAGCAAGCAGCAAGCTGCCAGGTTTGTGACTTGAATGGCGTTGACATGTTGGAGTCCAGTGCTCTTAACTACCATACCACCTGCCAACCCCTACAATTAGATTTTAATGAGAGCTCAACTTCTGTGATTTTTGAGATGGTTTTTGGTAGTTGGAAAAGTCATGGCATATTTTTCTGTTTTTCTATGCAAAAATGCGTCATATCTTTCCTGACAACCCATTACTTCTAGTTTTACATTGTAGCAACTGAATGCTTTGGTACCTAAATATAACTTTAGTTCTACAGTATGTGAGATGCCCAGGCAGAGAGTTGCTAGATAAAATATAAAACACTGGGCATTCTGTATTTTATTTGATAAATCTGGCAACACTAGCTAGGAGGAGATAACAGGAGGTAACCTACCAGGTACAAACATAGACATTTTCTGCGCACGACTTTTACTTCCTCATAAACAATCCTCAAAGGTAGCAATAATTATTCCCATTTATAAGATGAGAAAATGGAAGCTTGGTTAGGTTAAGTAACTCGCCCAAGGTTATAGAGTGGTAGAACAGAGACTAAATCCTGGGTCAAGGACTTAAGGCTCTTTCCCACCACACAATCCAAGGGGCTCTTGCTATGTTTCTTAGTGACTCGTTCTAAAGGCACAGAAATTTCCCACGATGTCTTCATTCTTTTCCTTCTTTATGAGGGAGAGATGAGGATGATGGTGGTGGTAGTGGTGGTGATGACAAAAAGAGAAACAGAGAGAAAAGAAGACAGACACAGAGGCAGAATAGTATTTGGGGGCAGGGTCTTGCTATGTACCAATTCTTCTTTTCTAGCCTCCCATTACAGGCACATGCAACTGTGCCTGACATGTTTAGGTTGGACTGGGACCTGAACCTGGGCCTCCCATATGGCTTATAGCTTCCCAAGATTGGTGCTGTCTATGTGAACCTTCAGTTCTTCCTTCCATAATCAGTCACCTTTAGATCTTTAGAATGGGTGACTTTGTGATCTAAGAGACAGGAATAGTCTATTAATATGGGCAATGTCTTTAGCCAAGTATCACCAGGAACACACTTGTTGGGTTATTACAGATTGTAGCAAGGGATGACTAACATCCTGGGGGATCAAGGGTATCTCAGTAGGAACACATTAGAAAGAACCTATTATGGGATTTGGACTTTGGGTTACTTGGGAATGGCTAAGGAAGTGGAGATTTGTTTTTGATTGGAAGTTATCCAGGTGAGATCTACTATTCAAAGGATTCAATTATTGAGGACAGAAATGACTTTCATTCAGGGGCTGGATGGTGGCACAGCCAAACACAATGCTCTTCAAGGCTGACCCAGTGGGAATGTTCTAGGTTTGCATCTGGAGTTCTGAGTACTGGGTGTGGGTGTACCAATGCCCCAGGACTACTGGAGCTAGGGGTGAATTGCAGCACTGGGACCCTGTTGGGGGTATTGTCTGTCTCTGCTTCTTTTGTTCATAAAAGAAATAAAGGAAGGGGGCCCTGCTAAGCTGGCGGCGGCAGGAGGCGGGCGGGCGCCAAGGCTGCGTCCGACCGCGGGGAGTCGCGGGGCCCTCCCGGCCTTGGGCGGAGGCGGGCCGGACGCCAAGGCTGCGTCCGGTCACGGGACCTCCCGGGCCCTTCCGGGCTCGGCGAGTCCCCCTTGGGGCCCTGCTGCCGCCGACCGCGGCCCCCCCCGTCGCCGCGTGGTCTCTGGGACAGCCAGCTGAAGAGAAGGATAAAGAACTTGCAACTATAAGCAACAGAAAGAACCTTTAACTGCCTTAAACCAACTGAGAAATACACCGTAGAGAAGGATTTTATCTACCTATGGACAGTGAGAAGGTGATGGATACCAGCCCTGCATTACCTCAGGCAAGAACAGGGACTACCCTGCCATTCTTAGGGAAGCCAGACACCCGAGGATAAGTCACGCTGCAGACCTCCACAACACCGTTCCTGCTAACCACAAGATGGCTGCTGTGCCGCATCAACTGATGGTCAACTCTGCTTGCCAGAACTGCCTTCCGGAGACTGTATTCCATGGAGACTCACCTACAGTTGCGGAACTGCACGAGACCCACACTTGATCCAACCTTGAATGGAATCTATTTTCCCTATTGTTAAAAACTTTGGACTCCTGGCCCCTCTCCCTCTACTCGCAGGTATCGCATTTTCAATGACCCCTCTGGAGGATAGCTGTCCATAGAAGAGATAGAGTAATTGGGAGAGGGGGAAAGGGCTGAGGGTCAAACATAGGATAAAAAACATATTTATATGTATGAAAGTAGAAATGGAACAGTATTGGTGACGACATGCTTGATTAAGACACTATGTAGTTTATCCTAGATGGGAAACTACACTTGGTGTGTTGTGATGATACTCAGGGAATGAGTGTTAGGCAATATAATTTAATATAAAAAAATAATAATAATAAGCAGGAGGGAAAAAAATGCACATTTGATGACTGAAGAGAGTTGTATGGACACAACTGGGGTCTACTTTATAGTATGTTCATTCTACTCCCTGGGGTTTATGCCTAGGATCAGATTTGGATACATGTGTAAGGATATGTCAGCTGTGCTAGCTAGGGGATATATTTGGAAAAATTGAGTTCATTGGTAGAACAATTGAATGGGGGGGTGGCGGAAGGCATTGAGGGCAATCATGAATGTCAGGGACAATGGAGGAGGAAGATGGGACATGGCAGAGGGTGGGGATGGGGAACCTAGGATGGCAAAACAAAAGGCAAGGTATGCAGGACACAAAAATTGGGAAATCATTTGCTGAGAACATATATGTTGATGTGCTTGATTGAGCCAATGCACAGTGTATTTTGGATGGAAAATTCATATGTGTGTTGGGATGAGAAAAAAAAATTTATAATAAAAAACAAAGTATAAAAAAAAAAGGAGAGAGAAGAGGATAAAGACAGCAGTGAACAATAGAGAGGCAGGATGTTAATGAGAGGATAAAGACAGCAGTGAACAATCGAGAGGCAGGATGTTAATGAGAAATAGATATGGTTTATTACCTGTTGATGATGACATGTATAGTATTCTCAACTGAACCGGTCTGGAAAGTATTTCATGATGGGTGAAGTCTTTTTAATAAGCAAAATGAGAAATAGTGATTGACTGTTTAAAAAAATTATAATAATAATTATTGGGAAAAGCATGGAAAAGATATTGAATGATAAAGCGGGGAGATTGATATCTCTGTATTGACTGACATGCATGGCATTCCCTTTTGAAAAAGCAATGGAAGTCAATGTAAAGTTATATGTAATCTAGTGTAATAGAAAGAAGATTATGATGATAATAAAATAAAAAAAAAAAGAAATAAAGGAATAAAGTTTAATAAAAAAAAGAAATAGCTCTCATTCTTTTAGCAAGAGGGGAATATTTGGTACTTGGGGGATTGCACAGTGATCTTGTTTGTTTTTTGGACACAATTCTGAAGTAGTCTTATTTTTTTCTTTTTTGGAGAGGTTTTCGCTACAGGTTGCGTGCGCTCGCCAGACAGACAGAGAGAGACATAGAGACAGAAAGCGAGAAATCACCCCCCAGGGGGGATGGTCATGCCACAATCCCTTCTCCTCCATTCTCCTCTCGGGATCTTGGGCACACACGCACACGTGCCCGGCATGAGTTTTAAGCCACCAGGTCCGGGACGCGAACTGCGGTTGACTACGTGGGAGTCCAGCAACATAGCCATTACACTAACTGCTGGTTCCCTGAAGTAGTCTTATTTTGTCTGATTTTTTTTCATGGTCTCAGAGTAACCCTGTCTGAGGTTGACAGTCTATAAGATTGTTTCCATCCAACACAAAACCAAATGACTCATGAGTGTCATAGTTATTCTGCATATTGAGGACTACTTTTGTTTCTCTGTGTGGATCAGGTAACATTTGGAGCTGCTTTACTATAACTGGGTATGCACCCCAAAGCAACCTCCATTTTCAAAAATTAAAAATAACAGTTCAAGTAGAGACCACTATAATTACAGAAATGTCAATAAATAGTAAAAACACTTGGTCATATTAATAGATATATGGGTAAGTTAACTGGAGGCCCAATGTGCACTGGCTTAGAACTCACTTAAACTATGTGTTTCTCAGTTTCCCATACAATTCCAAATCTTTGGAGTAGAGTACGTCTACTATCAAGGGGGGGAAAAGGCCTTAAAACAACAACAAACCAAATTCAAATTCTTGTTTCTAAGAAAAAACTTGAAAGGCTAAGTTTTTTGGACATCAAGTTATTCATATAAAACACAATTTTGATGAGCTAAGTGTAAATGAATCAGAAACATATGGATTACATTTCTTTTAAACACAGGTTTACAAATTATGGGAAAAAGTGGTTGGTGAAACTCTTTTTGGTTTTACCCAAACCCTGAATGTTTAAGAAACAGCTTGGGGATATTCCATGAACCCAAATGTGGCAATACTCAACCACCCCTGTTATAATAAACTATTGTATAAACTGACAGTTTTTATTTTTATGCCAAGAATGGGACTTTCTGAAATCTCTTTTCCAAAAGCATCTGTCATTCTTTCTTATATAATTAGGTGTTTCTGCTGTTTATATTAAAGATAGAATGTACGTGTACACATGTGTGTGCATGTATGCGTGTATTTTTTTAGGTCCTTAATTCCCCATCACAGACTAGATTTCAAAACTGAGTATATTTCTATGTATCTTCAATCTAATTATTGACATTTTTATGCCTCTAAAGGTTAAATTGTTGTTGTCCAAAGCATTAACATATATACCTCTGGAAACCTGAGTACGTCAAACCCCTTGTTCACAAATGAGTTTAATGACCTTGCCTATGAACATCATATAGAACCGACACGTTGTCACCTTGTGGTGAAGAGTAGTAAAGACTGGACACCAGTAGGTGAATGGAGATAGCTACATTTTGCAAGAGCATGACATTCCCATTCTATACAAGCGTGAACTCACAGGCTCTCCTAAAATTACTTTTGTGCGACATGAAATTTAACTTTTAAACTAATGGCTCATGGTAACCTCTGAAACCTGAAAACCTAATGTACAAACCATCTGCTATAGCTTCTACCTGTTCTGCTGCATTTTCCCCATCTGCAAAAATGTAAAATGTGGATAATTATGGGACCTCCCCCATACTCCTATTGTATGGATTAATCCTTGAGTTCTGTAAAAACTCAGCATGTACCTGGCATGCAGTAGGTGGACAGTACATGTTAGTAATGATGATGCCCATTGTAATAAGTACCACTCGTCTCTCTTCTATGTGCTTATTTGGTGGGAGAATAGTAGAGAGTGAGGATAACAAACTTCCCTGAGAAAATGTCTCAATTTAGGCGCCTATCTGGCTTTGCCAACTGACTGCAAAGGACTACAAAGCATATGCTAATTAAAGTGGTATCAAAGACTGTTTCTTCCTGGATATGCTAAAAAGCACAGGCACCCTCAATAGTGTCCAAACAAAGGGAAATGTGAATGGCTTATAAAAATCACAAGAAACAGAAGTCTCATTCTCATTCATCTCTCACAGCTTATACCACTGCCTTTTGCACCTGTCCCAGTGGTGACTCAACTGGGCTCAGTGAGAGTGAGGCCGGTGTCAGGCCATACCCCTCCTGGGATGTGTGTGCTACCACTTTCTGCCTTTTCGTAAGAGCTGTAAATCCAGAAATTCAAACCCTGCGTGTTATAATTCGTCAAATTGGTAGTATGGAGGGGAGTAAGAAAATGTACCCAGTCTGTCAATCTTAGAGTGTATGTGTTCTGCTGCTGCCCTTGTTTCTAAGTTATTTCGTTTATACAGAATACAAAAGTGGGAGGGGCAAGAAACCAGTAGGAGGACCAGAATTTTCAAACTATGATTTGTAGAATGAACCAGTTGTGTCACTTTGTGATCCAGCCCGTGCTCCCCTTCACCTCACACCTTTTGGTAGTTCTCAAGGGCATCTGTTAACTTATTTCTCCCTATTCCTTATTCAAAGTCAAATAACGTTTATTTCTCACTACTGCTACTCACATGTTCTGAACTATTGGGTCACTGGAAAAGTCATGATGCATTTTTCTATGTTTTTCTCTGCAAAAATGTGTCATGACTTTTTGATGACCTAATATCAAATTATTACATTTATCATTCCTTAGAAAACATACGTAATTGCCTTATTATTTATACTTTTCGTTATGTATTAACTATTCCATAAGACAATCTCAAACTTACCATGAAATACGCAGCCAGGCCTTTTCATGTCTTCACCTAGAGGGGTGAATTCTACCCACTCTTTCTAAGAGAATCCTACAGTCCTTCAGAACCAAATTTTATCTTTTCTAGGACACGATTCTCAGTCTCTCCAGGCTAGATTTCTTCTTCTCCATTATATTTTCTCTTACTATGTTTATACCTTTACTATAATGCAAATCTGAATCTAGTATGTCCTGTTCTACATCTTTTAAATCTTCTACATTGTTTTCCAGATAATGTGAATTCTGGTTTAGGAAGCTTTAGCCTCTGACTTCTCACCTCTGGCCTTCTCATTACTTCCCTATCACTGTATTCATTCTATGCCTTGGCAAATATACTACATAGTATCATTTATTGCCTCTAGGTCTTTGAATATGACTGGGACAACCCCCTGTTCTCTCATCTCTCATCTCACCTTCAGATTTTGGGTAGATAAAACCTTTTTTCTGATATTATTTTTAGTAGTTCTCATAGCATAGCATTTAATCACATGCATTATAATTGCCTATTTATTTGATATCCTGGTGGATTTGAGTTTCTTTTGGGCAAGGAGAAGGTCTGTCTTATTTGTGGCTATACTCTCACTGTAAATTAATATTTACTGGACAATTTTATGTTACTTATCATACCTTACATTTTTGACTCTTACTGTAAAGCTCCTTGAGTAGAAAATTATTTAATATTATTTTTCCCTAATTTTGGGTCATTGGGAAAGTCATGATGCCTTTGTGCATAGAGAAACAAGTCATGACTTTTCTGACGACACAAGAGTTTGAAGATAGAGAATGGAACTGCGGACTGTGGTCTTAGAAGGCAGGAAGGGTTTGGGTCAGCTGTTGTGCACAGGAGTATGCCTGTGGATCCAGAAGAGAGCTGAGAGATAAATATCAGTGCAGGGTTATGTTTAGATAGTGCATGGGAAACACAACTTGGCCTTTCTTAAAAGGCTACATGGTCCAGCCAGGCAGCATGGTGGTTAAGGCAGCTGGATACTATGTGGATGACTATGCTGTTCAAGTCTGGGATCTGGCAGCTTAGAACATATACCAGGAAATGTGTGCATGTGTGCTCCAAATTGAGAGGGGAGAATGGAGGAGAAAGTATTGCAGTTGGTTATTCCTTCCACCCCTGGGGCGGGGATGGAGACATTTCTCACTTTCCTCTCTCTGTGATGAGCACACTTGCCATGTAGCAAAATCTTAAAAAAGAAAAAGGAAAAAAAAAAACTATGTAAATATGGTGAAAATGGGAAATATATTTAAAATTTCCTTTAAAAACATCCCCCACTCTGAGATGCTTTTGTTTGGAAGCCAAATCTTAGTTTTGAAACTCTATATTGGCTTTTAAAATCCACTTATCTCTAGATCAGTTTAATTTGAGTCAGTTAAAGATCTATTCACTATTTCTACCCCTTGGGGTTGGGGAACAACACTGGCTTCTTTTGCCTGATTCAAATGGCCATGTTGGTTGGTCTAGACATTCCTAGGTTGGGCAGGGCTGGTTAGCTGGGGTGCTGTGCATTCCAAGTGTCCAACAGCTGGTAAATCATGTTTTTTTTTTTTTTTTTTTAAATTTCTCTTTTGTAGCACTTAA